GGCACACGGGACCGAGGGGGCGCTAACGGAGCCGGTAGGGCGCGAACGGGCCGGCAGGGCGCTAACGGGCCGGTGGGGCGAGCGGGGCCAGAGGGGCGCACGGGGCCGATGAGGTGCGAACGGGGCCGTCAGGACGCTAACGGGCCGGCGGGGCGTTAACGGGGCCAACGGGACGCAAGGGGCTAGAGGGTGCGAACGGGGCCGGCAGGGCGCTAACAGGCCGGCAAGGCGCTAACAGGCCAGAGGGGGCGCACGGGGCCGACGGGGCGCTAACGGGGCCGAAAGGGCGCTAACGGGCCGGTGGGGCGCACAGGGCCGACGAGACGCTAAAGGGCGGCTAGGACTAGGACGAGAGCGGAAACGCGGGTGGGCGGGGAGGACCCAACCTAGCGCGTGATACCATCTTAGAGTAGAAAAAGTAACTAGAATGAGGCATATTGGTTGATTTTGTTAAAATGGTTGTACCCTCGAAGAGCATGCACCTATCTAGCCTATTATAACATATACAAATATGTTTGACAGAGGCATGAGAGTACACTAGTAAAAAAAGTCTGAAAAATCAACGTAAGTACAAAAAGGTTCTCTAGAAAATCAGAGTAGGGTACAAAAAAAAGTATTTGCAATCAGAGTACACCCCCAAAAAAACTCTGAAAAAAGTCTGAATCAGAGTAAAAAGTCTGCAATTTGGGGGCCTGGACTGGACGCGAGTGGTCAGTGTAGGCAGGCCCCAGAGATGGTGAGAAGCAGCAAGGCGGTCAGCAAGTGCAGCGCGCTGTGCTGCATGTTAGAAGGCTAGCTTAGCAAGAAGCTAGGAAAGGCATGAGGTTTAGCTAGGAGGAGCCATTGTCACAGGATCGAATGTCCCGAGGAAAGGTTTGCTCAATGTTTTCCTATCAATCAGTACAAGGTGCTTTTATACTTCTAGAGTACATCAGGTAACCAGGTTTATCCTAGCCAAAGGGAATAGACCCTTCTAGAAATAGAATCACCCTGCGTATAGCCACGCGAAGCTATTGGCTTTAAGGGATTACGGCAGGATTACGCTAGATATAGCGCGCCAGTACATCCCGAGCCTGGTCGGTGATATAATTATAATAACAGGATAAACCAAATGATAATGGAAAATGAGGAATAGGAAACCAAATGAGATGAGATAAAGACCAAATGAATCAGGATAAAAAGAGGAAAGAAAGAGAAAGGAAATATGGAAAGGGGAAATTAGTGTAACGGGGTCGTACTCTCACAGACATGGAGTGGAGTCAGGTTTAGGAAGGAGAAAAGTTGAGGGGAGAAAAGAGAGTTGGAATAGAGAGAGAGAGGCATACAAGGAGGGGATTGTACCTACCAAGCCTAACAATTATATAACTCAATATATAGTTTTAACACACCCCCTAGGCTTGGTAGTCACAAGCCCACACACACCCCCACACCCCCTAACCTAGCACCCCCATTCCCATCAGCCACGTCTACTCCAGCGGAGCCAACCCCAAGGCCCTGGAGATGGCGGCGGCAGCCGTCCCGGCAGCGAAGGTCTGGAAGAAGTCCACCCCCTCACGCTAACTGAAGCCTCTAGCCACGTAGCGCGCCTTGAACACAGGCGGCTCTCCAGGAGGGCGCTTCACCTTGAAGAGCCAGCGGCCATCGACTACGTTCACCCTAGGCGGGGGAACTGCGTCGACGAAGGTGCCGGTGGATCTCCAAGATGCCATCTCCTGCTCCATGGCAGCTATCCACTGAGAGGCCCAAGGTCCCGAGGTCGCCTCAGCGTAAGTGCGAGGGGTCGGGATGTCGAAAGCGTCTGGGTCACCCTCAGGGACTAGCAGCATGGAACAGAGATGGGGAGCAGCCTCGGACAGGAAAGCAAGCTCGAACTGGCGGTCGTCCAGGACGTCACTGCCAAGGGCAGGAGCACCCCCGACAGACGGAGGACAGGCAGGGTCAGAGACCAGAGCGGAGGCGTAGTCAAGGCAGCAGGTAGAGGCGAAGTCAGCGACAGCAGCGACAAGAGCGTCAAGGCATGAGGGCGGAACAGACGGGTCGGTAACGAGAGAGGCAAGGACCCGAGGAACAAGGGGACGAGCGGCACGAAGGTAGTCAGACAGCGGGGGGGGTGCAACAACAAGGGAGGACGGAGGAGGCGACGGGAGAAGGGGAGGACGAGACGCGTGGGAACGAAGCAACATTGGGTGGGAGCGCAAAACAGGCGAGGCAGGACGAGCACGGGAGGGACGGTGAGACCAGACGTGCGACGGAGGAGTCGAGTCAGGAGACAGGGGAGGGGACACAGGAGGGGAACGAGGAGGAAGACGGGCCGGGGACGAGTCCAGCGGAGGGAACACAGGGCCGTAGATGGGAAGAGGAGGAGACGGTCGGAGAGGAACAGCCGCAGGGTCAGGGGACGGAAGGCCGAGCAGGCGAAGGGCTGACACCGGCGAGGACTGCTGCTGCGGCGGCACAACGGCGACACTGGGACTGCAAGCGGCTCCACGGCTACCACCGGCACACTCCACACCAGCACCCCCAAAGGATCCACCCCCAGAGCTACCGGGACTAGCACCCCCAGAGTCAACGAACGGGTGCTGCGACGGCGGCGGCGGCGGCGGCAGCGACAACGACGGCTGCAGCGGCGGCAGAGGCGGTGGAGGAGGGGACTGAGGAGGGGACGCCGAGGGAGGGGCGGCCGGCGAGGACTGCGCAGCAGGGCCACCAGAGTCAGAAGACTCCTCAACCGGGTCCACCGACGGAAGGGGGGTGACGTGGGACACACCAGAGGGGGCAGGACTGGGAGGAGGAGGGGGAGGGGCAGGGACTACCGGGGAATGAGTGACCAAGAACAGGGGGGGGGTAACCGGGGGACCGCGGTGGGGGAAGCGACGGTAGTAGGAGACGGACTCGTCAAAGGTGACGTCGCGAGAGTGAAAGAAGCGGTGAGACGGCGGGTGTTAAAAGTGCCAGTCAGACGCGTCAAGGGGAAAGCCGAGGAAGATGCAGGGAAGGGTGCGGGCAGTGAGCTTGTCCGTGCCGGAGGCACGGACGTGAGCAAGGCAGCCCCAGACGTGGAACGCAGACGCGTCACCAGGAGACCCAGTCCAAAGACGGGTCGGCGAAACCTGCGGCTGCTGAGGGTGCGGCCACAGGTTAAGCTGGTGAGAAGCGTAGCGCACAGCGAACGGCCACAGAAAATGGGGTGCACCGGCATGGATCATGGAGGTGCGAGCCACCTCCATGACCAAACCGATGCGTCGCTCAGCGACCCCATTCTGCTGTCGCATACATTGAAGGATACGTACAATCGACCGTCATGGATTGGTGTACAAAGTGAAACTGGCAAATGCTCAAGGATATCTCTTAGCACATGGTCCAACCTCCTGAGTCGGTTCTATTTCGGGCGAGATTGCAACATGTATTGAAGTATTCTCGACATAGTTTACTCATGCATTCCTTATGTAACCCTCAGATGGTACTATTAGCGTGATACCTCATATGGAAGAAGCGCGTGATGACGTCAGCAGTAGCGAGTCAACATGTGAACAGTAGGTTCACGTGTATAGTCACCTGTTTCAAAGCTTGGGAGTTCGGTGCTTCAAAGCTTCACTTGCTCCAGCCTTCTATACCTGGGACTACCTGCGCAAGTTATATCAAGCACAAGATTCTGTCACACAGAGCAAGCTGTTAAGTCAACTTACAGCAATGTAAATGCTTCCGGGAGAAAAAGCCGGGAGCTACATCAACAGGTGCAGAACACTTCAGGATCAGCTCAGCAAGTGCAGAGGAAACCTCAGCAACGAGCTCTTTGTCACTATCCTTCTGGCTGGACTTGGACCCGAATGGAGGCAGTGCAAGTCCTTTCTTTATTCCCAAGGAACCATATCAGAAATATCTCTTTGCGCTGCTCTGATGGCAGAGCAGCAGGACTTAAACGTGTATAACGCAAAAGGAGGCAAAGCCAAGAGTGGGTTAATTTTCTATACATGTGGATCAAATCAAGAGGAGTAGACAAGAGGTGCATCTAATCAATGAGAGCAGACAAGAAAAGGAGGAAAGGGCTTCTGCAAGTTTTGCAAACGAGCAGGTCATAATATTGAAGAGTGTCAGAAACTTAAGAACAGGAAATGGCAGAAGTCGGGTGAAGCCGCCCATGTTAAGACTATCTCGCCGCCTTAAGCTTCTTCAAATCAACCTACAAAAGGAAAGGCAATTAATAATTGCATGATTGGACCACAATGGTCTAGTGATATACTCTACTGGAGCAGACGAGACAATGACATCGACAGTGACATGGAAGAAGGACTAGCCAGCCCACCTCCACGTCTTCGTCCTCGTTTAGAAACTCCAAAACCTGCAGTCGTTAACGAAGAAGAAGCAGAGCAGCCGAACAGGTTTCCTCGACGGTTGAACGTGCAGCCGTACACCCATATTGCCAAGCGTACGTATCCCGAGCAGGTTAGCACTTGGTTTCTTGACAGCTGCTGTGGTCACCACATGGCATCTTCAAGTCAATATCCTATCAACTGGTGAGACCTGCCAAACGGAGAGAAGTACAACATCACAGTTGCTAACAATCAGGTTATTGAAGCAACTTGGATTGGAGATGTGATACTCGAGTCCGACGACATAGAAGTTTCACTTCACTTGAACAAGGTTCTTGTCGCCACGGGACTCGGCGACTGTGAGAAGAATATCTCACTTGCTCCTTGGCTTCAACGCCAAGACCATCGTGGTCTCAATGTCTTCTGCGTCACGCCTCAGCCTTCTCACACCAACTCCCTCGACGAACCTGCAGCAGAGCCAACAGAAGCCGCATCAGCAGCAGCAAAAACAGTTTAAAGTATACGCGGCGGAAGCGTGAGGAGGCGGTCCAGCAGGGAGGAACTCCTGCTCTGATAGCATGTTAGAAGACTAGCTTAGCAAGAAGCTAGGAAAGGCATGAGGTTTAGCTAGGAGGAGCCATGGAGTGGCGTGAGGTTCAGGAAGGAGAAAAGTTGAGGAGAGAAAAAAAAATTGGAATAGAAAGAGAGAGGCATACAAGGAGGGGATTGTACCCTCTACAGTAAAGTTCAATAACCTACCAAGCCTAACAATTATATAACTCAATATATAATTTTAACACTGCAGTGCACAGTGAGTGCATCACGGCGGCAGTAGTCACCAAAACGCGGGTTCTATGCGCATGGCGCCATGAGATGCACCAGGACGAGCACCAAGTGTAGCGGCTTGCATTGCTTGCAGGCCAAGGGGTAATTCGGAGACTAGTGAGAGGAAGTGTGGTCTCGTGGCTCAGCTATGTGAGGGGCAGCTTGAGGTGTGCTCACGCGCGCTCACACTGCAGTGCGCTGTGCCACGGAGTGAGTGAATCACTGGGACAGGGACGCAAGTGACTAAATGAATAAACCGGAGGTGGGGTCTAAGCGCGTGCCGCCATCAGGTGAGCTGACACGGGCGCGAATTGCAAAGCGCTGTGTTGCAGAGAGCAGTGGACCAGAGAGCAGTGGTCCAGCGAGCAGTGGTCGAGCGAGCAGTGGTCGAGACAGCAGTGGTCCAGCGAGCAGTGGTCCAGCGAGCAGTGGTCCAGAGAGCAGTGGTCCAGCGAGCAGTGGTCCAGAGAGCAGTGGTCCAGAGAGCAGTGGAGATGGCGGGCTGGAGAGGCACAGCCTTGTGCTTGCCGCCATGAGGTGCGCTGCCATAAACACCAACTGCAGAGCGCTGTGCTGCTGAGTCAGAAGCTGTAGCCCTTGAAGGACGAGTCAGAGGCTGCAGCCCTTGAAGGATGAGTTCAGCGACCGGCCTATGCACGTGCGGCCATCAAGTGGGCAGAGACGAGCACGAACTGCAAGGCGCTGTGCTGCAGCGAGAAGGAGTCCCCCAGAGAGTAGTCGCTGAAGGCCGGGTCGAGCGGCACGAAGCGCCCCACGAGGCCCTGCGCCGCCACGACGTCGTGCCACAGCGCCAGGAAGTCCAGCAGGAGAGGGCGCGCCCGGGGGAGGGAGCACGTGGGCAGGTACTCCACCTGATGGGGGGAGGGGGGCATGGGAGGACATGGAGGGCATGGGAGAACATGGGGCGTATGGGAGGACATGGGGCGCATGAAAGGACATGGGGCGCATGGGAGGACATGGGGCGCATGGGAGGACATGGGGCGCATGGGAGGACATGGGGCGCATGGGAGGACATGGGGCGCATGAAAGGACATGGGGCGCATGGGAGGACATGCGGCGCATGGGAGGACATGGGGCGCATGGGAGGACATGGGGCGCATGGGAGGACATGGGGCGCATGGGAGAAGGCAAAGGGAGGGGGGAGGAAAATGGAGAAAGGAAGGCATGGAGTTGGCAGACACACTGCAATGGGACGCCACTGGTGGGCGGCTTCACGTGCAGGCAGAGAGCGGATTATGACTGTGGGCCGTGGATGGATCACCGAAACAGGGCCGAGAAAGACACCTCCGGCAATGGCATGCATAGGGATGAGAGGCGGGATGTGAGGCAGAATGTGAGTTGGGGATGAGAGGCGGGGATGCGAGGCGGGGATGAGAGGCGGGAAGAGCGGAGGGGATGAAAGGCAGGGATGAGAGGCGGGGATGAGAGGTGGCGATGAGAGGCGGGGATGAGAGGCGGGGATGTGAGGTGGGGTTGAGAGGCGGGGATGAAAGGCGGGGATGAGAGGCGGGGATGAGAGGTGGGGATGTGAGGTGGGGATGAGAGGCTGGGATGATAGGCGGGGATGAGAGGCGGGGATGAGAGGCGGGGATGAGAGGCGGGGATGAGAGGCAGGGATGAGAGGCGGGGATGTGAGGCAGGGATGAGAGGCGGGGATGAGAGGCGGGGATGAGAGGCGGGGATGTGAGGCAGGGATGAGAGGCGGGGATGAGGGTCGGGGATGTGAGGCGGGGATGAGAGGCGGGGATGAGAGGCGGGGATGAGTGGCGGGGATGTGAGGCGGGGATGAGAGGTGGGGATGAGAGACGGGGATGAGAGGCGGGGATGAGAGGCGGGGATGAGAGGCGGGGATGTGAGGCGGGGATGAGAGGCGGGGATGAGAGGCGGGGATGTGAGGCGGGGATTAGAGGCGGGGATTAGAGGCGGGGATGAGAGGCGGGGATGAGTGGCGGGGATTAGACATGGGCAAAAAAAATCGCATCGCATCGCATTTAATCGCGTTTTTGCGATGGCGATTTAAAAAAAAAAAAAAAAAAAAAAAAAAAAAAATCTTCGCGCGATGCAATGAATTAGTATCGCGCGATTTAATTTAAATCGCATTTTAATTGCGCTAAAAACGCGATTTAAATGCGATATGCGATTTCTAAAAAATCGCGCACGATATTGCACTGAAACCCACTCTGAAACCCACTCTGAAACCCACTACGAAACCACACTGATTATTTGCACTCTAGCTTACGACTGCCCGTGAGTCAATTTCCCCGCAGCCATGTTTTTTTTTTCTGTTTTTTTGGGGTATTTTTTTAATTCTGTTTTAAAACGCGATGCGATTTAAAATCGCATTGCGCGATTTAATTAAATATCGCATGCGGTTTTTTAATACGTCGCGGGTAAAATGTGATGTGCGATTTTTTTTTTTGGAAGAATAAATTGCGCGATGCGATTTAAAATCGCATCGCTTTTTTAAACATTGCACCTGCATGCGATGCGATTTAAATCGCAATCGCGTTTTGATCATGTCTAGCGGGGATGAGAGGCAGGGATGAGAGGTGGGGATGTGAGGCGGGGATGAGAGGTGGGGATGTGAGGCGTGGATGTGAGGCGGGGATGTGAGGCGGGGATGTGAGGCGGGAAGAGAGGTGGGGGTGAGAGGCGGGGATCATAGGTGGGGATGAGAGGCGGGGATGTGAGGCGGGGTTGAGAGGCGGGGATGAGAGGGGGGGATCAGAGGCGGGGATGAGAGGCAGGGATGAGAGGCGGGGATGTGAGGCGGGGAGGAGAGGCGGGGATGAGAGGCGGGGATGAGAGGCAGGGATGAGAGGCGGGTATGAGAGGCGGGGATGTGAGGCGGGGATGAGAGGCGGGGATGTGAGGCGGGGATGAGAGGCGGGAATAGAGGCGGGAAGAGAGGCGGTAAGAGAGCACGCGCTGCGCTGCCATGGAAACACGGGGAGGAGCAGCTTGACACATGCCACCCATAAACGTGCACCCTTTAGTGCCTCACCTCTCCTTCGATTCCTCAGCCCCCCCTCACACCCCCCCCCACCCCTCTCACCTCCACCACGATGCCGCGGAGCGCCTCGTTGGTGGAGAGGATGGCGCGGCCCAGGCGCATGGCGAAGTCGCCCAGCAGATACTCGAAGCCCTGCTGACACAAGGGACACAAGACGAGCGCAAAGGACAATGAGGCGTGATGAGGCGCGACGAGGCGCGATGAGGCGCGATGACGCAGGGTAGGGGCAAGCTTGCACTGACCAGCCCACTGGTCGGCTGCCAAGAGGGTACTGCGGTATCTGGCGAGTACATCAGGACTGGGGCCTGTTCTAGGACGACGGGAGCTAGTGGTGCTCACTGGACACACAGACGCGTCATGGGCCGACGACTTGGAGACGCTCAGGTCGTCTTAGGGCTACAGCATCAGTCTTGGTGCTGGTGTAGCTAAGTTGGTTCCTTACGTTACGTTTACGTACGTGTACGTTTACGTTTACGTACGTTTACGCGATTCTGGTTTTAGGCCTGTATGTACGGGCAGGCTAAATTTTTTCTACCTGCCCAGAAAAAAAAAGAGAGGAGGGAACCCTAGGCAGATTTTAGTACAGAATTCCATTGGCCATTAAGTCTTTTCGTAGGAAGATAGAAAACATCCACAAAATACCAAGTTTCCAACAGGTGCTACGCTTATAACATGCAAACTTGCAGATGCTACCTTCACTCATCCATGCTAGGCTCGTCGTCAACGGGAGTGTCCACATACGCATCATCAGGGATGTCGTTATCATCATCGAGGGGCTCATAGCCATCCTTTGGCTCCTCCCGAATCACTGGAAGTTCCGAAACCATCATTTTCTTGGAGAAGTCGTCATTAAGCTTCTTCACCGTGTGGTAGTTGTGGCTTATGTAAACCAAATCCGCAAGACGCTTGGGGCCGAGTCGGTTGCGGCGTGCGGTGTGGATAGACTCCCACACACCCCAGTTCGTCTCGCATGTCGATGCCGACACGCACTGCTTGAGTACCCTGCACGCCAGCTTCGCCAGGTTGGGGCAATCGGAGCCATTCATAATCCACCACTGCACGGGGTCCAAGTGACCCTCCTTGATAAGGATGTGTTCGTCCTTAGCCTTCTGCTCTCCGATTTCCCCCTTCCCTTTGATGTACGTCAACACCTCGCCCTCGACGATCGTGGCCATTGGTTTAATGACATTCCCGACCTTCATAGTCTCTCCCTTGTAGTAGTCGCGCACAAACCGCTTAAAGATTGCGGTGCACTCCTTGTCGTCGTGTCCAAAAAATTTCTCGTATTGGTTGGGTGGATAGAGAATGCGCCCCACCACGTGAAGCGGGCAATTGATGTCATTATTCCACCTATTCCGCACGATCTCCGCAACCTCCTCCTTCTCGGCGCTCTCCAAATCCGTGCACGCCCTATCCACCTGCTCCTCCAAATCGATCATCATTTCGTACATTTTGCCCATGACCTCTTGATTCCCGTCGACTTTCCTCAGCGTCATGCAGACCGGCTTGAGAACGGCAACCACTAGCTCAACGCCCTTCCAGAATCCTTTCCGCTGCACCGTGTCGCGTGCGTCCTTCATTTTGGGCCTCCCCTTCGTGTAATCGTCGAACCCCTTGGTCTTCATCATCGCCTCCAGCGTGTCACGCACCGAAACCAGACGCTCAAGGGCGATGTAGTTAGTCCCAAACCGCGTGCCTGCAGGCTTCAGCACCTTCAGCGAATCCTTTTCCCGAAAGTAGCCCGTGATCCACTGCCCGTTCTTCAATGTCGAAATGAGTTGCTGCGCCTCGTCGATGGTCGGTTTGGCCCAGTCGAGCCCGCCGATGTCCTTCATAAGGAGGCTAAGCGAGTGTGCGGCACAACGAATCCACTGCACCTTCGGATATTCCTCCTTGACCAGGCTGGCAGCGTTGATGTTCGCGCTCGCACCATCCATCAGCACTCCGACGACATTCTCCGCGCCGACCTCCTTAATCGCAGTTTTCAAGTGCCCGGCGATGTAATCAGCTCCTTTCTTCTCCGTGCCGCAATCAACGCCAAACAAGAAGACCGACGCGTTGGAGTTGACGGTCAAAATGTTGAGCTGAGGACGACCTTCCCCATCCGTCCATCCGTCGCACGCGATGCTCACTCCAATGTCGTCCCAGGACTCTTTCACATCCTTGAGCGCATTCTCCGTCTTCGTCTTGCACTCCTCAAGAAGGCGGCCCATGATGAGCCGACGCCCGGGGGGGGTGAAACCAGTGCCAGCAGCCGCCACCTTCTTCAACATGGTTTTGAAGACCTCGTGTTCAGCCACGTGTGGCGGGATGCGACAAACATGGAAGAACGTCGCAATCGCCAATTGTGCGTTCGCAGCGTCCACCGGCTTGGGACGCCCATCCGTGAGTGTCATCTGCGTCGCTTGCCGCTTTCGCGCGCAACCACTGCTCTCCGACATGTTGCTGCCCGTGTGGCTGGTTGGAGTATGCGTGAACGCATTCATTGTCCTGTGAGTCGCTTTCTTCTTCTCCTCGTCGTCACTCTTCTTCTTTGCCAAGGTAGCCCTAACAGCCTCCTTCGCCTCGAAAGTAGCTGAGGGGCACGCTCTCACGCCGCTATTAGGGGTTCCAAGAATATGGTTCTGCGCTCGGACCACGTTGAATTTCCAAGTGCCGTTGCAAAAAGTGCATTGCTTCTCCAAAGTAGAGTCAGATTTTCCCCCTTCGGGAACCTTGAAGAATTTCCAAACAAAATGGTCAACGGAGTTTGCCATTGCAGCAGAAGTACAATGCAGTTTTTACTTGGAAATTTGAGTAAGAGCAATTGGTGTTTGGAGCTGTGTGGATTTGTGGAAATCAGGCGTAGTTAAGTACCTCTTTGAATTCGTCGTGCCGCGAACCAGTTTTGCGGAAATCACGCCGTAGGAAATTGTTAGGAACGCGTAAACGTGTTTCTGATTGTTTGGGATTGGTTGGCTTGCTGGCTGCACTTTCGTCGCAAGCCACAATCGCCAACTTCTGCCGGTGCGTCGAAAGTCACATTTAGGTGCGACGAAATTTACAATCTGTTGACTGGTTGGCGAAATTACCGCGTGCGCGAAATCTCGTCCCGCTGCTTGACGCGCCGGCAATCCAACCAGTCGACGGATTTGTGCGCGTCAAATCTGACGTGCTCGTACTCCAACCAGTCAACGTCAACCCCTACCTAACCCAACCCAACCCTCCTCGACATTCAATTCCCCTTCCCTCCTCGACGAATGTCAGTCGCTACCCTATCTCCAGCAGCAACTAAGTTAAGTCTAAGTCGCATCCTAGGATATTAGCGCGCCTTCGACCAGCGCGACGAATCTACGTGCGCCATAGTTCATGGCGGAGTAGATCTGCCCGAACCGTGGGCAACGATAATCTCGGCGTAGTTGCAAATCGCGTAGTTCTAGAACGCAGTTTTTGGAGGGAAAAAAATTGCCCGGGAAAAAATTTCAGGGCCTGCCCGGCGACGTAAACGTAACGTACGCGTAACGTAACGTAAACGTAACGTTACGCGTACTGTACGTTTACGTCACCTAAAGTGACGTAAAGTACCAACTTAGTGGTGTAGTCTCATGAAGGTCCACCAGGTCGTCGTTTGTAGCTCAGTTTAGTTGTGAGGCAGAGATCTACGCTGGGGCCATGGCTGCTCAGGAGCTCCGCTGGCTGTCGTTCTTGCTCACTGACTTAGGTGAGGAGCCTTGGTCTGCCCGGGTCCTGTTTGCTGACAACAGGGCCATGATCCTCCTGTGTCAGGAGGCTCAACTTGAGGGCAGGGCGAAGCACATCCAGCTGTGGTACTTCCTGCTGCGTGACTTGCAGCAGCGCAGTTTGGTTCGAGTAGAACAGTTGGCCTCCGAGGCCAACATCGCTGATATCTTCACCAAGGCACTTGCGCCTTGTGACCATCAGCGGTTCTGTACTCAGCTTGGTCTAGCCTCAGTAGCAGCACCACTTCTTGTATCCTGAGTCATACTATACATGCTTGTACTTGTTTTATATCTGCTTATCTTGCTACACTTGCTGAGTGGCCTTGTGGCCTCTTGTCTCAGTGGTCAGACTAGTAGTGCACTCTTGGTGTACTTTTCTTTGTTATGAACTGCCACTATCTCGGCTAGCGGGTGTGTCAACAAATATAAGTATCTAGGCTAGCTAGTATATATTTGTTATAGCCTTAGTTAGGCCAGTTCTTAGAGGGTACAGTCCTACCTTTGTAACCCTCGACATTTTCCCTTAGTCCATAATTCTCTCGACAATCTAACAGTTACTACAAACCTACTTGGCGAAGGCTAGAGAATACAAGCAGTCCACTGGTCGGCTGCCAAGAGGGTACTGCAGTATGAGTCATGAGGCGCGATGAGGCGCGATGAGGCGCGATGAGGCGCGATGAGGCGCGATGAGGCACGATGAGGCAAGGCAAGGCAAGGCGTAATGAGGCAGGGCAGGGGCAGGGCGCAATGAGGCAGGGCAGGGGCAGGATGCAATGAGGCAGGGCACGGGCAGATAGGCTTGAGCATAAACCTGACCCGACCCGATCCGACCCGACTTTGCCCTACCCGATGTCGGGTTCGGGTCGGGTCGGGTCGGGTCAAGTCGGGTCGATCCTAGGATTTCGCCGACCTGACCCGACCATAACAGGTCGGGTTATCTCTTACCCGTGGTCGAGTCGAGTCAATCCAACCCGACCCGACCCGACTTGACCCGACCTAAGTATTTTTTCCTGAGGGAAACATATGGATTTCGTAATTTCGAGATCCAGTATGTCCTCCTTGTGTCTAGCCCTCGCACCCACCTCATCCTCCCATCCACAACCTCGAGATGTGGGTTGGATGTTGGCGAAAACCAGTCACGGGATGGGTGTTGGATTGGTTGGGAGTGTTGGCGAAAAAATGGTTGGCGAATGTTTTGCTGGTTTGGGGGTGTTGACGAGATTTTGGGTGGGTTGCGGGTGTAAGCGAAAATTGGGTGGGTTGGGGGTGCTGGCGAAAATTCGGATGGGTTGGAGGTGTTTGCAAAAATTCGGATGGGTTGGGGGTATTGGCGAAATTCGGATGGGTTGGGGGTGTTGGCGAAATTCGGATGGTTTGGAGGTGTTGGCGAAATTCGGATGGGTTGGGGTTGTTGGCGAAATTCGGATGGGTTGGAGGTGTTGGTGAAATTCGGATGGATAGGGGGTGTTGGCGAAATTCGGATGGGTTGGGGGTGTTGGTGAAATTCGGATGGGTTGGGGGGGGTGTCAAGCTTGTTTGTTGAATAGGTGTGTTGGTTGAGTCGATCCAATCGAAATCGATCTGGATCTGCCTAGACCCTAAGCTGTACTAGTAATAAGCATGGTGGGGAGTAGATTAGTGGTAGGAATGAGCTGGATGCAGGGTAGAAATGGGAGGTAGCCTGAGTAGGATCTGGGAAATGACCCATTTAGACTAAAATTCGACCAAATGATCAGACTTTCCAGATCTGCGCAACTCTGGTCGCGCAGATCGCGTCGGTTCAAGGGGCGACCCGAGTTCGGGTCGGGTCGGGTCAGGTCAACCCAATGATGTATACCCGAAGTCAGGTCGGGTCAACCCGACATGTCGGGTTCACCCGAACCCGTACATGTCGGGTTCGGGTTGACCCGACCCGACGGGTAAAAATCAAACCCGTCGGGTCGGGTTCTGCCTACGGGAAACCTGACCCGACCCGTCAAAAAGTCGGGTTCGGGTCCCGTTACCCGACCCGACCCGACCCGTTGCTCAAGCCTAGGGGCAGGGCGCAATGAGGCAGGGCAGGGGCAGGGCAGGGGCAGGGCAGGGGCAGGGCAGGGGCGCACAAGGTGGACGGAGAGGTTGGCCATGTGGGCCTCGTCCGCCGAGAACCATCCCACATGTGCCCAAACTGCAATGTGTGCACTGTACAAGGGGAGACCCCCACGGCTGACCTCGTAGGTGATGGAGACGCGGTGGCGGTACAGCTGCAGCTTCTCCATGAGCGTCTGCACGCCGCTCTCCGCCTCCACCACCACGCGCTCCTGCCGCAGCACCAGCAGGTGCCGCCCCGCCACGTCAGAAAACGACACGCCAAACAGCTCCCGCGCGGCTGCCACGTCAGACTGGGACGGCGGCGCCCCTGCTGTGTCTGGTGCGCGAGAGAGGGGGTGGTAGAGGTGGGTGGGGCGAGCGAGGATGCGGTAAGAGGGAAGGGCACGCTGCCCTTGCTGTGGCCTGAGCTGAAGGGGGTGCCAAGGAGTAAGAGGAGCAGGCAGGACGACTAGAGGTGTTTCTCCCATTACCTTTCCCTGCGAGAGGCATGCCCCACAAGCATGCGTGGACTCAGCGGAGATGGTTTCGCGCTTCACCTGCCCTCCATGTCACTCCCACACTTCACCTCTCCGCCCCCCCCCTCCCCCCTCCGGTTCTCCAAGGCTTGAACGTCCCACACTTCCCACAGCGTCTTTGAGGCATATCACTCTCCGCTCTTCTCATCCCCCCTCCTCACCGCGCACGTTGGGTACAGCGAGCACGTGCCCTGCCAGCAACGTTGGAGTCGTCTCTGCATGCACCTCCCATGCCTTCACTCTTCCCTCCTCCCCCCCCTCCTCTCACCTCGCGCGTTGGGTCGATAGAGCGAGCACGTGCACTGCCAGCGCCCCTTGCGCGCGGCGGGCAGGCTCTCGATGGCCTTGGCGACCTCGGTGTAGGTGGCCAGGGACAGCAGCGACGACGACGAGGGGGGAGGGGCCGTGGAGCCGGGGGGCTGGGGGGGCGGTGAGGGTTGCCAGTGCAGCAGCCTGACGTGGGGGGGGGGGTGGGACGCGGAAGGGGAGGAGGGGAGGGGGTTTTAGAGGGGGACGAGGGAGTGGAGAAGGGGGGATCAACGGGCAGAGCAGGGCGTCGGGGAGGGTCTGAATGGCGCGCTCAATGGGGGGCAACGTGACGGGCAGCAGTGGGCAGCGGTGTGGTGGGCAGTGGTGCGGTGGGCAGTGGTGCGGTGGGCAGTGGTGCGGTGGGCAGTGGTGCAGGCGAGGGTTGGAGGAAGCGGAGAGACGGGGAGGGGAGGCGGAGATGGCGCACCAGGTGACGCCCATGGCGCCCGCGCCCACTCCCCTCACCCGCGCGCCCACACCCGCGACCGACACTCCCGCAGCTGCGACGGTCGTCAGCACGGAAGCCGCATGGAGGGCTGGCGACGTTGAAGCAGGGGCCGTGGGCGGTGGGTGGTGGGTGGGGGGCGGCACTCCCGGAGCGGGGTCGAGCAGGCACTTGTCTAGAGGCGCGCGTCGTCGGCTGCACGCATCAGCGCGACGAGAAGGTGGCGCGTCGCTGGTGGGGGGGGGGCATCCGACATCCGAGCGCGGCTGGGGAGTGGACGAGTGAAAGGCGGAGCGCAAAGCAGGTGGTCCACGGAGCCGAGGTGAGGCGGAATGAGCGGATGACGAATCGACTCGCAGCAGCAGGAAGCAGCACAGCTCATAATCATACTCTTTCAACTTGTGTTGCAATAATCTCATCAAAATATAATCTATAGCAAACCCTAATTTCCCAGTGCTAATTTATTCATGGTTCGTTTCCTCTTGCAGCTGGTGCAATAGCGATTTGTCCAACTGTCTACTTAGTAACATATGATTTATATCAATTTAGAAAGAATCGAGTGCACGAATAGTGTTGCATAAGCTAAGAAATACTAATCTTACATAGTTAAAACGAAATCGATGTACACTGCTGTAGAAAAGGCACTAGTCATTTCTGTCGCCATATCGTTCCGATGCGATGCGATCAACACCGTCAAAGCAAGCGGTCTCGCAGCCCAGGCTGGTTTCACTTGAGGTCAGCCGACAGGCTTCCCTCCATCGCGCTTGCTTCACTCCCGCGGGTATCCCAACCATGATGGACGCCTCGCCTCACCTCGCGCCCTGCGGTGCCGGCGGCCACCAGTCGAGAGTCCGTTTGCTTCAATCGGAGGTCGCGGCCAGCCTTCGCGGCGCGGCGAGCAAGCTCGGCGATGCGTGGCGCGACGCGCGCCGTGGCGTGCGGAACGGGGCGGAGGGGGACGCGGGCAGGGCGTGGCTGGACAGCGGCGACAGCGGCAGCAGGCTCGCGATGAGCGCCCAGCGGATAGAGGCGATCAGCCCCTCGCTAGAGTCGCGCGAATCGAATCCTGGCGAGGCGCTCTTAGCGGGCTTCGTGGGCGGCGTTGCGCGGACGGGCGGCGCGATCCTCGAGCGCCTTCAAGCGCACGCCGGCCAATTGCTCCCCGCCCTCCCCTCCCCCTCCCCCACTTCCCCTCTCACCCGCTCGCCGCTGCCCCTCGCGTCGCTCTCCCTCCCCCTCGCCCCGGCCCCGCGCGACGCCTCCCCCGCTCCGCCCTCCCCGCAGCAGTGGCGCCCGCCGCACCTCCGCGGCATGGCTCACAGACGGCGAGGCGCGCCCCTCGGCGGCGGGGAAGGCGCACAGCTGGTGGACAGCCGCGGAGGCGGAGCGGGGGGAGCGGGGGGAGGGGGGAAGGTGGAGGAGGAGCGCGTGCTGATCAGCGAGATCGTGATTCGCGACAAGGAGGGCGGCGAGGTGGACGACGAGGAGTTGGTGAGGGTGATCGCGGGCGCGCTGAAGCTGTCAAAGCCCAACGCCGCGCTGACGACGCGCGAGGTGCAGGAGGACGTGCACCGCATCATCGCCACCGGGTACTTCGCCTCCTGCATGCCCACCGCCCAAGACACCAGGGATGGTGTTCGACTCATCTTCCGGGTGGGTGGGGACCGCAGACGGAGGGCTGACCAGTGGGGATAGCTGGTGGCCAGAGCACTCCGTCACACGCCCCCCGTGCTTCCATCCTCCACCGCCCCAACCAGTTTTACTGCGTACCCCCACATCTAACCTCACCATTCCCACCATGCCATGCTATGACCTGCCATGCCATGCCATGCCCTGCCCCGCCATGCCATCATGCCCTGCCATCCCATCCCATACCATGCCATCCCATGCCATGCTGTGCCATCCCATGCCCTGCCATGCCATGCCATGCCATGCCATGCCATGCCATGCCATGCCATGCCATGCCGTGCGGGCAGGTGGAGGCGAATCAGGAGATGAAGGGGCTCATGTGCGTGGGAGCCAATGTGCTGCCGACACGTGTCATTGAGGACGCCTTCAGGGACGAGTACGGTACGAACGACCCTCGTTTCTCCCCCTGCCGGCCTCTCCCTTATCCATGTGGACCTGCTGCTCCCTTATCCATCTGGACCTGCTGCTCCCTTATCCATCTGGACCTGCTGCTCCCTTATCCATCTGAACCTGCTGCTCCCTTATCCATCTGGACCTGCTGCTCCCTTATCCATCTGGACCTGCTGCTCCCTTATCCATCTGGACCTGCTGCTCCCTTATCCATCTGGACCTGCTGCTCGTGCCGAGTCGCTCTCCCTTCCGTGCTGGGCGCACTCCGCCTGTGTGTGTTCCCTGGGGTGTTGGATCGCGCCTTCTCCATGCCTTGCAGGGCACCGCTCTCTCTTCCCCGCGCGCACCCACACCTGCTGCAACCCACCGACACAGGGACCCACCATTCCCCCCTCCTGGCACAACCATCCTCCCCTCCCCCCCCAGGCAAGGTGGTGAACATCCAGCGCCTCAACGGCGTGCTGGACGTGCTCAACGGCTGGTACAGCGACCGCGGCCTCTTCGGCCAGGTGCGCTCATAGGGGGGGTCATTCACCCAGGTGGGGTGATAGGGGATTGTTCGGGCAGGTGCGCACTCGCACGTGGTGATCTGATACGACACGAGCTGCAACAGCATGTTCACTTGGAAATGCGCTGGCCTGAGGATGCGGGCATAGTGAGTGCGTGCGTATGTGTGTGTGGCATGGCATGCGCTGCCTGGGATGGGCCCAAGAATCAACCATCACTTTGAATGCACATGCGAATGTTATGGCATGAGGATGTGGGCACATATTGCACTCGCATGGGGTGTACCCATGCATCCCACTACACGTGACCGCACGCTACCCCTGCAGGTGACGGACGTGGAGCTACTGTCGGACGGGGTGGTGCGGGTGAAGGTGGCGGAGGCGGAGGTCAACAACATCACCATCAAGTTCCGCGACAGGAAGACGTCAGTCTTGACGAGATGCTGCCTGGCCTGGGCTCAAAGAGAGCATGATTCGAGCCCCATTGCGCTCAATGACCTTGTACGCATTCCTCAGATAGTCAGCGGTTGGATCAACTGGGTCTATTCGCGTGTTGTGTGCCTTCCTCTCTGCCGCTCTCTCTGCTGTCCTCTCTGTCGTGCCTCAGAGGCGAGCCCACGACCGGCAAGACGCGGCCAGAGACCATCTTGAGGCAACTCATGACCAAGAAGGGGCAGGTGAGAAGGGGCAGGTGAGAAGGGGCAGGTGAGAAGGGGCAGGTGAGAAGGGGCAGGTGAGAAAGGGCAGGTGAGAAAGGGCAGGTGAGAAAGGGCAGGTGAGAAAGGGCAGGTGAGAAAGGGCAGGTGGGTAACAAACAAGGTAATGCCAGCAAAAGGAATGATGCTGCATCCCCCCTGTGCGCCTTGCCCGCATGCCACGTTTGCAGCCTACATGCAGCAAGAGGGAGGGGCACGCACAGTGGGAGCTTGTCACGCAGCATGTCTTTGTTGCATGCACACGTCACAGCCGTTCCCCATTGCCACGCCTGTCGCTGCACACCCTGCAGCAGGGCGGCGGGAGACACCTCCCCTCCCCCCCTGTGCCTCTGTGCCTCTGTGCCTCTGTGCCTCTGTCCCCCATGCGTACCCCCCATCCGTCAGGTGTACAGCCTGCAGCAGGGGCGGCGCGACGTGGAGACGGTGTTCACGATGGGCATCATGGAGGACGTCAACCTCATCCCGCACCCCGCGCCGGGAGGTATGCAGTCAACCTCATCCCGCACCCCGCGCCGGGAGGTATGCAGTCAACCTCATCCTGCACCCCGCGCTGGGAGGTATGCAGTCAACCTCATTTGTAGCTCAAATGTTGTGCGTTGCATGTTGCATGATGGCATAAGGTATGTGGTGTCGCAACGCATGGGCTGCTGGATGGCTGGTGGTTTTGGTGACACGTTTGCTTTCTGAACTGTTGAACTTCCGGGGAGACCTCCATTGAAGGGATGCAACACTAAGAACTTAATGAACTCAATAATGTATTGACGCGCATTATATGCATGTTGTTGACGCGCTCAACGGAGGACGCTGGAAGTAGTTGTGCCTCGGGGGAGGAGTTGGGAAGCAGTTGTGCCTATAACGCCTATAACGCAACAACATGCACGATGGAGGAGTTGGTGAGCGCTCACGGGAGGATTCTGGAGCAGTTGTGCCTAGGGGGAGGAGTTGGGAAGCAGTTGAACCTAGGAGGAGGAGTTGGGAAGCAGTTGTGCCTAGGGGGAGGAGTTGGAACCATCATTGAAGCCACAAAACCATCATTGAAGCCACAAAACCATCATTGAAGCCACAAAACCATCATTGAAGCCACAAAACCATCAATGAAGCCACAAAACCATCATTGAAGCCACAAAACCATCATTGAAGCCACAAAACCATCAATGAAGCTACAAAACCATCATTGAAGCCACAAAACCATCATTGAAGCCACAAAACCATCATTGAAGCCACAAAACCATCAATGAAGCCACAAAACCATCATTGAAGCCACAAAACCATCATTGAAGCCACAAAACCATCAATGAAGCTACAAAACCATCATTGAAGCCACAAAACCATCATTGAAGCCACAAAACCATCATTGAAGCCACAAAACCATCATTGAAGCCACAAAACCATCATTGAAGCCACAAAACCATCATTGAAGCCACAAAACCATCAATGAAGCTACAAAACCATCATTGAAGCCACAAAACCATCATTGAAGCCACAAAACCATCATTGAAGCCACAAAACCATCAATGAAGCCACAAAACCATCATTGAAGCCACAAAACCATCATTGAAGCCACAAAACCATCAATGAAGCTACAAAACCATCATTGAAGCCACAAAACCATCATTGAAGCCACAAAACCATCATTGAAGCCACAAAACCATCATTGAAGCCACAAAACCATCATTGAAGCCACTCAAATTCGAAGGCAGTACCCCCTCATTTCCACCCAACCTGCCCCCCCTGTTCCTCCCAGACACGGGCATGGTGGATCTCACCATGAACGTGGTCGAGCGCCCCCCAGGCGGCTTCTCTGCTGGTGGCGGGCTGTCGGGCAGCAGGTGAGGGGAGAGCAGCAGGTGAGAGTGGAGGGCAACAGGTGAGAGGGGAGGGCAGCATGTGGGGGAGGGGGCAACTGGTCGGGGGAGGGCAGCAGGAGAGAGGGCAGCAGGTGAGGGGAGGGGATTAGGTATGTGGTGAGTGCTGCGATTTGGTGCTCCTCATTGCGTACCTAGTTCCTTGAAGGGTGGTCAATCAATGCATGCATCTCGTATGTTCGTTTCACGTTGAGCTTGAAACAATTTGTATTATGCTTCAATCCATCTGCACCTGACTTGAATCTGACACCGCGTGCATGCATTCCCTTGTGTTTGATTCGTGCCCGCTACAGTCTGTCCGGAGGAGCTCTCTCTGGCCTCATTGGAAGGTATGGCGTGAAGGCGTGAAGGCGTGATGGCATGATGGCATGAAGGCGTGATGGCATGGCATGATGGGATCTTGCATGAAGTGATGAATGGTGTATGGCATAGTTGGTGATGGTGTGCAGGGCAAGGCATGGTTGATGAGTGCGTCAGTTCATCGCAGCACACGAGACGGCGATGCCCTCTGCAAGAGCTCACACAATGCATGCTGTAGAGTAGAGGCCCACTTGCACCGCGCATAGCGCCCCCTGCCCTGCCCGTGTCCATCCCTTCCTCTCTCCCTCCTCTCGCATCCCCCAACCCCACCTTCACCTATTCACACCGCAACGTGCGCGGGCACAACCAGAAGCTGGTCTCTCCCTTCCCTCTCTCCCCGCCCAAATCCTGAAACCCTGAAAACCCAACCCCCCAGCTTCACGTACTCGCACCGCAACGTGCGCGGGCGCAACCAGAAGCTGAACGTGGCGGTGGAGCGCGGGCAGCTGGACTCCATCTTCCGTGCCTCCTACTCCAACCCCTGGATCGAAGGCGATGACAAACGCACCAGCCGCGCCATCAACATCCAGGTGAGGGGCCGTTGGCATCCAGGTGAGTGAGAGGCCGTTGGCATTGAAGGGCGATCTACATCAAGCCCTGATTGAGGGCGATGCCAAGTGCAGCAGCCGGGCCATTAACATGTAGGATGGGATGCGTGCGCGCGCGCGTGTGTGTGTGTGTGTGTGTGTGTGTGTGTGTGCGTGTGTGTGTGTGCGCATGTGCGCGTGTGTGCGTGTGTGCGTGTGTGCATGTGTGCGTGTGTGCGTGTCTGCGTGTGTGGATGTGTGCATGTGTGCATGTGTGCATGTGTGCATGTGTGCATGTGTGCATGTGTGCGTGTGTGCGTGTCTGCGTGTGTGGATGTGTGCATGTCCACCTGCCCGCCGGCAGAACTCCCGAAGTCCCGACATGATGGTGCACGGGGTGCGGCGGGACGGCAGTTCGGGCAGCCCGTGGCACGGTGGGGTGACGATAGCGCGCGTGGTGGCGTCGGTGGACTACAGCCGCCCCGTGCGCCCGCGGTGGACCGCCACAGCTGGACTCAACTTCCAGGTGCGCGCGGCAGTCATCCTGAACTTGCCGGGTTCGCCATGGGTGGGTGGACAGCCCACGCGACTTTGAGCTGCTGAGCTGGATCGTGGCGTAGGCGACTTGAGACGCCCACAATCTCCTCATTCTTCTCTTTCCACTTCTCCTTTCGCCTCTCTATTGCTCTCGTCCTTTGTCTCTTCTTCCCTCACACTCCCCCTCTCTGTCTTGCCCCCACTTCCTCCTCTCCCGCTTATTCCCTCCCTTGGTCTCTGCGTGTGCGTCGCCCATGCTTTCATGCTTTCATGCTTTCATGCTTTCACGCTTTCATGCTTTCATGCTTTCATGCTTTCATGCTTTCATGCTTTCATGCTTTCTCCCTTGGTCTCTGGGTGTGCGCTGTCCTTGCTTGCACGCTTCATCCTTTGCATTTCACAGAGGGCGGGGGCGAGGGACGACCACGGCCATCCCAAGCTCGTTGATGCCTACGGCAGCCCGCTCACCTTCAGGTGATTCATCAGGGGCTTCTCACTTCCAGGTGATCGTCTCGCCCAGGTGATTTTGTACCTTTCAGGTGTAATTTCTTCCGTCGGGTCTTTCTCTTTCCGGTTTTCATACTTTCATGTGCTTTCTTATCTTGGGCTGGTTTCGCCTTCTTTTGCTTTTTCTTTCCGGGGTTCCTCGCTCGTGTTTTCGCTTACTATGTCGTTGTATTGCTCACCAACCACTCGTCTTGCTCCCAACTGCTGGCATTTCCGCTCGCACACTCGTCTACGGCCATCCTGCTTCCCCCCCCCCCCCAATAATCCCAACTTTTCATTGCCCTCTCACGCCAGTGGCGACGTGCTCTTATTCAAGCCCCGCACTCCTCTCGCGCATTTCCCCGACACCCACTCTCTCCCCCCAGTGGGCGGGCATCGGATGACATGCTGATAGCGAAGCTGGAGACCGTCTACACCGATTCGGGGGACAACGCCTCCTCGCAGGTACGCCTCCTCGCAGGTACGCCTCCTCGCAGGTACGCCTCCTCGCAGGTACGCCTCCTCACAGGTACGCCTCCTCGCAGATACGCCTCCTCGCAGGTACGCCTCCTCGCAGATACGCATCCTCGCAGGTACGCCTCCTCGCAGATACGCCTCCTCGCAGGTACGCCACGCCTCCTCGCAGGTACGCCTCCTCGCAGGTACGCCTCCTCGCAGGTACGCCTCCTCGCAGGTACGCCTCCTCGCAGGTACGCCTCCTCGCAGGTACGCCACGCACGCCCTCCCCCCAGGTGGTTCTCCCCTGCAAGTATTCCCTGTCTAGGTGCATCGCACCTCCCCCCCTGGTACGCTCCGACTCTCCTTCAACTTGTTTCACTTCCCCCCACCTTACCTCTCCCCCCCTCTCTCCCCCGCTCTGCCCATTCCCCTCCTTGCTGCCAATCTCCCCCTTGCTCTCATCGTCCCGCCCTCGCCGTCCTCTCCCCCTGGCAGGTGGTGGCGAGCACGGAGCAGGCCATCCCCATCGCACCCGACTGGCTCTTCTTCAACCGCATCAACGCGCGCGCCAGGAATGGCTTTAGGCTCGGCCACGCGCGCCTCATTGGCAGGTGGGGCTGCTTGGGTGGTAGATGGGTGGACTCATTTGATCTGGATTCTTGTGTGCTTCGATGCGCATTTGGAATCCTCCAATCATGGCCCAAGGAGCTTCTTCCCCTGTTGCCTGTCCTCTTTCCCATCTTATCGCGCCGCATGCCTCCTGTTTCAAGGGGTCCTTATATTGCTGAAAACGGGGTACAAGGTAGGCGTGTGAGGTCACTCGTCCTCATCGCTCATGCACCGCACACCTCCTCTTTCAAGCGGTCCTTATATTGCTGAAAGCCCGGCATGTGAGGTCACGGCAAGCAAGGCACGTGCATGCTGCCAGGTTCCTAGCCTTGGGGCTCCCCTTGGGGCTCCCCTTGGGGCTCGCCTTGGGGCTCGCCTTGGGGTTCCCCTACGGCAGAGCAATCCCCAATAGCCATGTCTTCATCCATCTCTCAACCCCCTCATCCCCTTTCCCCCCCTGCCACATGATCAGTTTCTCAGGTGGCACGGTGGTGGGGGACTTGGCGCCGCACGAGGCGTTCCCCATCGGCGGCACCAACAGCGTGCGCGGCTACGACGAGGGCGCCGTGGGGTCGGGCCGCTCCTACATCGTCACCAGCGCTGAGATCTCCTTCCCCCTGGTACCGCCCTCCCCCTGGTACCGCCCTCCCCCTGGTACCGCCCTCCTCCTGGTACCGCCCTCCCCCTGGTACCGCCCTCTCCCTGGTACCGCCCTCCCCGTGGTACCGCCCTCCCCCTGGTACCGCCCTCCCCCTGGTACCGCCCTCCCCCTGGTACCGCCCTCCCCCTGGTACCGCCCTCCCCCTGGTACTGCCTTCCCCCTGGTACTGCGTTCCCCCTTCCCCCTGGTACCGCCCTCCCCCTGGTACCGCTCTCCCCCTGGTACCACCTTCCCCCTGGTACCGTCTTCCCCCCTGGTACCGCCTCCCCCCTGGTACCGCCCTTCTCCTGGTACAGCTCTCCCCCTGGTACCGCCCTCCCCCTGGTACTGCCTTCCCCCTGGTACTGCGTTCCCCCTTCCCCCTGGTACCGTCTTCCCCCTGGTACTGCCTTCCCCCTGGTACTGTCTTCCCCCTGGTACCGCCCTCCCCCTGGTACCACTTTCCCCCTGGTACCCCCTTTCCCTGGTGCCGTCTTCCCCTTGGTACCGCTTTCCCCCTCTTACCACTTTCCCTCTAGTACCACTTTCCCCCTGGTACCCCCTTTCCCTGGTAGCGCCTTCCCCTTGGCATCTGCGGCCATGCTCACATGCTTCTGTTGGCAGCCATCACCCGAGTGTTCCGTCACTCCCCTGTTCTTGCCCCCCACCCACCCTCCCCACCTACTCCCTCTCACACCACCTGCAGTTCGGGCCACTGGAGGGGGCCTTCTTCGCTGACTATGGCTCGGACCTTGGCTCGGGGGCAACCGTGCTAGGTACGGTGATGGGTCGGGCGCAAAATGGTAGGCACTGTTATGTTTTACCTTTGGAAAACAATGCGAGCTCCTTCTTGCCAGCAGACTCAGAAAGAAGTCGGTCGGAAATAACTGCGGGTCGAAGGTAGAAATGCCTTTTCCAACAACGCTATGGCTGTTGACTGCCAGCGCGCAGTTATTCCCTGCAGTTGATCTCACTTGCTGCAAGCACGGCATTCACTGTGCTTCCCTTTCGTTTCGTCTCTTGCTTTCCCATTGCACTCATGCCGCCCTCCGTCCAGCCGTTGCTGAGGCACATCTCTTGCATGCTATCTCCCCACCATCACCACCTCCACCCACCTCCCTCTCCCAGGTGACCCCGCGGGGGCGCGAGGCAAGCCAGGGAGGGGCTTTGGGCTCGGAGCGGGGGTGAGGGTTGATTCTCCGCTGGGCCCCCTGCGCCTGGAGTACGCCTTCAACGACCAGAAGATCCCGCGGTTCCATTTTGGCATCGGATATCGCAATTAAAGCATAGCAGCTATTTACTACCTGGATTTTTCTTTCTCTTTCGAGTCTAGGTGTGCTCTCTAGGCGTGAGTGAAGATATAGCTCGTAAAAGAAGTGCATCACCCTGTTAGAATACTAGAATATATGAAACAAGGGAGGACAAGAGAGATATAGTGTTGGGGTTGTACCCACTAAGAACATACACCTATCTAGCCTACAACATTATGTATATAAGTTGACACACCCCCTAGGCTAGATAAGGGGTAGTGCTGAGCAAGAAACACGCAACTCATGGTGGCACTACTAGTCCAACATCTGAAACAGGGGTCTGAAGACCAGTCAGCAAGCGTACAAACAAGACGAGCAAACCAGGGCTGCACTACTAGACCGGCCACTGAAAGAGAAGCCACAAGGCCAGTCTGGAAGGTATAAATATAGACTACACAATCAAGGTCCTAGCAACTGAGAGTCTACAGGAACTAGACCAAGCTGCAAACAGTGCCGCTGATGATCTATAGGCGCAAGCGCCTATAGATTCTTAGAACTGAGAAATTGTTGAATAGAGAGAGAGTACAAGGGTATATACCTAAGAGTGTTGTACCCTCTAAGAGGCAACCCTATACTGTCTATACAAACATGACAATTACACATGTTTGACACACCCCCTAGACTGCATAGGGGAATGACCTGAACAAGCAGCTCAGGGCGGCACTACTAGTCCAACCTCTGAGACAAGGGTCTAAAAGACCAGTCAGACGGAGTTGAGACAAGGCAAGAACAAGACCAGGGCGGCACTACTAGTCCAGCCACTGGGAGAGGACACACGTCCAGTCTGAGTATGCATATAAATGACAGTACAAAGTCAAGGCCCTAGCAAGTGAGAGGCTACAGGAACTAGACCAAGCTGTACGCAGTGCCGCTGATGATCTTTAGGCGCAAGCGCCTTCGTAAAGATATCAGCTGTGTTGGCACCTGAGGCCAAGTGTACTACGCGAGCCTGGCGTCGCTGCTGTAGCTCGCGCAGGAGGAAGTATCGCAGCTGAATATGCTTTGCTCTGCCCTCGAGTCGAGGCTCCTGACACAGGAGGATCATGGCCCTGTTGTCAGCGAACAGGACCGGGGCAGAGCTAGGCCGCTCACCTAAGTCAGTGAGCAAGAAGGTCAGCCAGCGGAGCTCCTGTGCCGCCATCGCACCAGCGTAGATCTCAGCCTCACAGCTGGACTGGGCAACAGAGGAGGAGCAGGTAGCTCTCCACGAGACGGCACCTGAGCCAAGGCTGAAGCAGTAGCCCTGGGTAGACCTGAGTGTCTCGGCATCGTCTGCCCACGAAGCGTCTGTGTGTCCAGTAAGGACCACTGGCCCACGTCCTCCTAGCACTAACCCCATGCCCAATGTACTAGCAAGATAACGCAAAACCCTCTTAGCGGCAGACCAGTGCTGCGGTCGGTGTCTGCCTGTGGCCACAAAGCGAGCCAGGATGCTGAGAGGGTATGCGAGATCTGGGCGAGTGCAAGTCATCAGGTACATGAGGCAACCCACCAGCTCTGCGTAGGGGCCGCTGGGCTCTACCGACTCCTCAGACACTGGAGCGGAGAGTCTGTGGTCTACAGGCAGAGGGGTGGGCTGTGCAGAGGAGAACTGAAGGCTGAACCTCTGAAGGACCTGGCGCACCAAGTGTGACTGAGTCAGGGTGATGGTGCGCGCTGCTCTGTCCCTGGAGATCTGCAAGCCAAGGTAGCGGCGCAGTTCTCCAAGGTCAGTGCACGTGTGTCTCTTCAGCAGCTCTGCCTTCACGGAGGCTAGTGCGTCCCTGTCTGCTGTGGCAAAGACCAGGTCGTCGACGTAAACAAGGATGTAGAACGGAGTCTGGCCAGCACGAACGAAGAGTGAGGGGTCTGCGGAAGCCGGAAAGAACTGCAGGTCAGCAGGAAGGAAGACGCAAGACAGGGAGACCGCAGTGGACACGCGCAGAGACAAGCCAGGGGATGAGAGCGGCAGGCACGTCGGCCTTGCGCTCCAGGGGAAAGACTGTGGTGTAACGAGTAAAGTCGTCGACAAGCACAAGGAAGTAGCGCTCGCGACGCGGTCCAGGGACGGGGGCGGGGCCCCAGACGTCCAGGTGCAGGGTCTGCAGCGGCGCGGCGGTAGGGGGAAACGAGGAGGAGTGAGGGGCACGGCGAAGCCGACCCTCGACACAAGGCGTGCAAGGTGGGGCTGGGGAGGAGGGAAACGCGGGGAGAGAACCTGGGAGACCAAGGACAAGACCGTGCTGGGACATGTGACGCAGACGCGGGAGCGCAGGGTGACCTAGGCGGTGGTGCCAAAGGAGAGTCGGGTGAGTGAGGGACCGACAGGAGCAGGCAGCAGCAACCTGGGTAGACGCAGCCACCTGAGGGAGCGCCCCAGCCGGGGGGGTCACGGTGTCCAGAGTGAACAGGCCGGACACCGTGTCCCGGGGGAACGTGGACAGGGGGGCACCCGTGGCGGCCTCGGTACAGACAGCATACCGCTCGTGACCAGGGAACGTAGTGGTGACGCCAAGGTCCTGGAGGCAGCCGACACCAACTAGGTTCCTGGAGAACGAGGGGATATGCAGACCTGTGAGAGTGCCCTAAGGAACCGCCGGACAGGGAAGGGTGGTGGAATTGCGGGCGACTACCGGACCGCCGGAGGGGTCAGCAAGAGAAACGGCAGCAGGAACAGGAAGCGGCGTCAGTGTGGTGAAGTCGCGGAAGAAACACCGTGAAGGGCCAGAGTCCAAGGTGAAGGAAAGCGAAGCAGAGGCGTCTGGCGACGGAACGACGATGGAAGCACCAAGACTACACAAAGCAGGGGATCCTACGCCTGACGCAGCAGGGGAGGCGAAGCTAGGCACACCTACACTAGCCGACAGTGAGTAATAAGCGGGAAGCACACTAGAGTCATCAGCATACATCACATGCAGAACAGAAACAATGGCATCCATGTCCATGTCAAAAATCTGAATCTTACGACTAAGCAAACTGTACCAGTCCGGGAGGTCTGGCGAAGGGCCGAAGCGCTGACGAAACAGGTCATCCAGGCGACGAAAACAGCGGGGAGTGGAGTGACCGATCTTACCGCAAACGAAGCCGCGGCGAGGACCGGTCTGGATCTGGTACTGACAACGCACGCCTCCAGAACCACCACTCGGCACACCACCACGCGCCCGACCACCGCCAGCGCCGGGCCACCCGGGCGGGAGGACACTCGTCTGCCTCGTCTGCGGCGGCTGCTGCGGCTGCTGCAAAGGCTGCGGCTGCTGTTGCTGCTGCGACTGCAGGGGCGGCGGCTCAGCTGGACTGGGCAGAGTCCCCTCGTCCGCTCTAGCACCAGACGACCCGACTCCACCACCACCCCCTCCCGCACCCCTGCCTCCTCCGCCGCGCCCAACCTTGGGGCGGCGGCCCTTCCCCGAACGAAACTGCGCTGCAGCAGCAGTCTCAGCCACAGCGGCAAAGCCGTCGGAGAAAGTACACTGAGCGGGGGCACAACCCTGAAAGATAGGGACCAGCACGGTACCGCTCGCCTGGGCGATGGAGCGGTGGCGGGTCTCAATCACAGTCAGGGTGTCTACAAAGTCAGTGAGGGTGAGGTCTGCGGGGTGAATGCTAAGGAAGCGGTCGCGGGCGACAGCAAGGCGGTCAGGGAGGCGGGTGGCAAGCAGGTAAAGGGTAGAGGTAATGGGCGGCTGGTGGGCTCTAAGCTGTGCGTTAGTGCAGGCAGCGCGCCAGGTCTCATCTATCGAGCGCAGGTGGGCAGCGAGGTCAGAGACAGTGGGGAAAGACGCAAGGTCAGGAAAGAGCATCGGGAGGATCAGGCGACCCACCGAGGCAGCTGGAGGGGTGGAATAGCGCTTGTTGACAGCATCTAAGTAAGCCTGGGCAGTAGTGAGGGACCTAAAGCGGGGGCGCTCGGACGGGGGAAGGGCATTGCTAATGGCAAGCTGAGCGACAGCATCTCGAGAAAGCCAGACAGAGCGCGCACGGGCAGTGGCAGCAGTAGACTCGCGCTCAGTGGGTGTGGAGTCAGCGGGCAGAACAGCAGGGGGGTCTGGGCAGGGGAGCGTACCGTCAAGGTGTGAGGAAAGCGGTTCACCATCCTGCCGCTGGCCAGTGAGTTGACGCCGGAGGTCGGCAAGCCACGCCTCGAACTCCAGAGGCTGGCCTTCAGCGTCGAAGCGAAGCTCCGCCGCCATCAGGGGAAGTGCAGGACTGTACAGTGCGGTGCAGTGCAGAGCAGGGCAGTGCAGTGCGGTGCAGGGCAGTGCAAGGCGAGGCAGTGCGATGCAGGGCAGTGCAGGGCAGTGCTGTGCGGTGCAGTGCGGTACAGTGCGGTGAAAGGTGGTTGACAACCGTACCAGGGAGAGTGCAGATCGGACGGTCGTAGGGCCGGCGAGGAAGGGCCGGAAGTCGACGCGGGGCCGGCCGGGACAAGCGCGGGAGCCGGCTCGGATGGGCGCGGGACCGGCAGGGACGGGCGCGGGGCCGGCTGGAACGGGCGCGGGGCCGGCTGGGTCGGGCGCGGGGCCGGCTGGAACGGGCGCGGGGCCAGCTGGGACAGGTGCAGGGGCGGCCTGGACGGGCACGAGGGGCCGGCTGGGACGGGCGCGGGGCCGGCTGGGACGATCGCGGGGCCGGCTGGGACGGTCGCGGCGCCGGCTGGGACGGTCGCGGGGCCGGCAGGGACGGTCGCGGGGCCGGCTGGGATGGGCGCGGGGCCGGCTGGGACGGTCGCGAGGCCGGCTGGGACGGTCGCGGGGCCGGCTGGGACGGTCGCGGGGCCGGCTGGGACGGTCGCGGGGCCGGCTGGGACGGTCGCGGGGCCGGCTGGGACGGTCGCGGGGCCGGCTGGGAGCGACGGACGAGGAAGCGCGACGGGCTAGGAAAGGCGCGACGGGCTAGGAAAGGCGCGACGGGCTAGGGAAGGCGCGACGGGCTAGGAGTCGCGCGACAGGGCCAGGAGGCACCAACGGGGGGCCCAGGAGGGGCGTGACGGGTGCTAGGGGGCGCGACGGGCCCAGGGGAGCGTGACGGGGCCCAAAGGAGCGTGACGGGGCCCAGGGGGCGCGACGGGGCCCAGGGGAGCGTGACGGGGCCCAGGGGGCGCGACGGGGCCCAGGGGGGCGTGACGGGGCCCAGGGGGGGGGGCGTGACAGGGCCCAGGGGGGGGCGCGACTGGTCCTAGGTGACGCGACGGGGCCCAGGGGGGCGCGACGGGCCCAGGAGGGGGGGGCGCGACTGGTCCTAGGTGACGCGACGGGGCCTAGGGGGCGC